GCCTAAAATAGATAACGTTTGACTTATATTACAGTCTATTATTAGGTTAGTAATACAGAGCTATTTATCATTGCACTGATAACCTATTATGATGTAAATGCACCCTGATACCTGATATTATAGTAATTCAGTTTAACTACTAGCATAAATATATTGATATATAATCCTTTATTTTTGTAGTTTAAAAAAAATATTGCATGGGATCATTATTTAAGTTTATAAGTGTTCGATACACTGACAAACTAGCCCTCCCCCCCCCCCCCCCTCCGTCACTGTTACCGTTGTTGATCTTGACATGTTTCCATTTTCGCTTGAAGTTGCGTTTCTCTCTGAAAACCGTCATGGTTAATTCCTAGTGAATTAACCACGATGGCCTACCTGACTTATCTTTATGTTTATCATCGTCCATATAGAAATTCAGTATCATCCTGTAATATCTCCCACATACAGATTTACTAACATCGTTATCACTTCATGCGGTGTTGGATGAGATGTGGTATAATACATAGTAATTACATGTAGCTACGTAACTATTTCTACTATAAAATAGTAAATAATTCTTTTCCTTGAGTGTTTAATAACAATAATAAATAAAATATTTTTAGCATAACAAAAATAAAATTGGTTTCTTGTATAATTAATTGTCCATCCATCCTTTGATGGAAAATATTGTTAGGTATACGCTAGATATGTTTCAAATTTTCAAAGAATTTTCCATTAATAATGGTGAAGACTAAAAAGACTAAGAAAGTGGAGACTTTTCTGCTCGTCATAATTGTATAAATCCATCGAGATCTGCAGTCAACTCATAACCAGTATGTTTACAACAGCGTCTAAATATTGGAATCTCTTATTAAATAATATTAAAATGGTAACACGTTCAAATAATGTGTACATTACATATGTAGGTACACATTTCAGTTAATATAGTTCTCCATCATCTGATTGGATACGAACAAAGAGACGTTGAATGAACTTTTGTCTAATGAATAGATCCAATAAAACTAGTAAAATCTGGTCTGCTGACAGTGTATGCTATAAAATCCGAACCAGACGATTGCACTGTCTGTTATGAAAGATAAATTAAGTTGAAAATGAAACTGTTGTTTTATTGAATTTGTATACCTTTAATTAAATATATAGGTACCTATAAATGTACATCCAATTTTAAACAAATATAGGTACCTAATAAATAAGAATAGAAATAACACCGAATGTTACCAATCTATAGATATGTTGCAGAGTTGGTTCATATACACAGAATGAAATCATGATGATTAAACTTGTTGTTTATATAAAATTAAAATGGGCCTAATTTAAAACAGCAACATTAGATACTCTCTTTACACAATAATTACGTAATAAAATTTTGATAATCGTTTTATATAATGTCAACCATAGTACAAAAGCACTAACAAAATCCTATACTATGTATCAATACCTATAAGTACTAACTTATTTCATTTGTATGAAGTTATTGTCAATAAGTACACAACAAATGCATGCGTATTTTCACATTAAGCGATTAACTTTAGAACTCCTCCCTTCCTAGTAGCAATATCTCTTTGTTTAATTAAACATATTTGCGTCCACAACGTCGACCCTCGCATACGAGTAGTTGCTCATACAATTAAGCAGAACTCAAACATTACTGTCGCGACTCTAACCCAAACCAACTTTCAATAGAAACACAAACATAGCCTTAATGATGTAACTTGGAACACAACAAAAATAGTCGAGTCAATTAAGATACAAATGAGAGAAATGTTGTATGCTATGACCCCAATGGAAATCTTTTATAATTATCACGAGTTTTAAATTTAGTAAGATTAACTATGTAAATTTGTATTTATGACTAGTCAATAGACAATGATAAATATTGTTAATAAACTCGATTAATTTTAGACCTATAGATACCTAAATGTTCTTGACTTGACTCGAAAATATTTTGATGTTTTGATATAGAAATACCCTGCATAACATGCCTTTTGCAACATTACCAAAAAACATAGTTGTAATCATATTATATTTTTAAATATAGTATGCCTCATAAGGGATAAGAAAATTGTATATGTAGATTTATTGAGGTTTTATAATAATACAAAACCTCACATTAAACCTGCTTGTTCTCAAACTTTTCAAATATTCTTCAGTATACCATATGTGACTGTTTCTTTTATACTTGCAATAATAAAAGTATACCTAAACAAAATCTAAATACGGTCGGTAGAAGTAGACGTTTTCGCTCTGCCCTCGCGCGACCCCTATGGAAACTTGAAACTACATTGTGTTATACAACCATAGAAGCTTCGTTTATAACAACTTCCTACACTTTCAGTTTTATTTTATTCTGAATCCAATAGTATACTTTATTGTAAAATTATTCTTTGGATTTTATGAAATTAGAATTGTAAACGATCTGACGGCTTCCCAAATACAAAGTGGTATGCTACACTATATACACTAGTAACACCACGTTATTTTGACTTCCGTGACTAGTCTCTGTTAACTCTCATGATTTCCTGAGGACTAAGTTTTTACTATTATAATTTCACTGTCACATATACGAAAGTCCCTACCTGACGAAAACCATCAAACATGAGTTGGATTGCAGACGCTACTTTCGCGGATTTAGATTGCCACATGCACTCGCCCCCCATCGTGACGTGTAAAGGCCAACAGCGGCCAACAGCATTAGATTAGTTAAAAAAAGCCCAATATTTCACTTCGATTCTAGAATTTCAAGCTACTTCGCGGCTGAATTAAATGACAAAGCGATATTATACTTATAACCTTAATACTCTTTACTTCAAGTGTTACTAAATATAATACAATACAAATAAACTTAACGAATCAACTTTATCAGGTACATTCGATTTCGACGGTGAATGACTTTAAAATGAATTATTAGGGTCTCCTACGTCTCTATTTGGAACGCTCTCTTTTTTATACAAATTATAAATTGTGGTAAGCAAATTATATTAAATGTTTTTTTTGCGTCGTAGTTAAGTAGATGAATTCGTAAAACATTAACTAACAGAAGAAATATTATATCAGGACTTAATTATGTATTTATAAACACGAAAACCTTTGAGGGTGGATGAATGTTTGTAGAATAATTTTCACATAAAAACTACAGTTTGTTTTTGATGGAAATTAGAACATGCTTAGATAAATTCCTCGCACGACACAAGCATTTGTATTAATGACCGTAATTGTTTTTGTTGATGAGGTTGTTTTCTATGAGTAGATTAGTGCTCATACAACAAGCTATATTTAGTTACTAGATGGCGCTGTGTAAATTATTATTATTAGGGTTAATTGTTATAATACAGGGTTATTATTGTTTTAAACTTATAAAAACTGTACATATATGCTTGTGCCACGGAACCTAAAAAACAATAAATATATCAACTGGATAATCTTGTACTAGAGAGTAGGTCGCGAAAGAAAATGTTGGAACATCAATTCCGTCACCAAAGATAAGATAACCGGAATTATATTGGTATATATGAAACAAAATGTAACTAATCGTGTTTTTAACTCTGAGTAAACAATTTGGATAGTGCTCTACATATTTACTGTTCTCACATACACTTATTAACGTTATTCAACAACTATATTTACGAATCTTTAATAATTAGAATATCAGCAATAAATTATCAAATTATAAACAAATTAATATACTGATTATTTGTACAAGAGACAATAACGAACAATGCTATTTGTGAAATTATTTAAAATTATCGTAAATAGAGTTAATATTTATTTTGACAGCATCGGAGCGATTTTGAAAATGGAAAAGGTAACTTTTTATAATTATTACTAGAGTGTGACTAATTTGCTATAAATGTTATTATTATTTATATGTGTTATTAATACATTTTTATTTTAATTATTATTTATTCGTTCAGTATCTGTAGTAGATATTTATGTTATCATAATCAGATTTAATTTTTTATCCCACGATTGGACACGAGTATCTCGGACTATTTAACCTATAGTTATTATTACTACGATCGCCAGGCGGATTGGTATGATCAATACCAAGATTAATTTTCTAGTGCGATATATTTTGTTCCCCTGGCTTATAAAAAGTAGTGAAGTGGCGTATAAAAAAGAATGGAGATATATTCTATTATGGATATTCTATTATCTTATATATAATATGGATTCACATATAGATAGCGACCTAATCATCACTTCACGGAACTGCATTTTTTAAATTTATAACACTTTTTTGCACCAATATTGAAATAATTTGAACATAAAATATTATTAAATAATAAAACTAAGTACACAAGGCAGTCTTATCGCTAATATAATCTCTTCTAGGTAAACTTTGGAAAGAGAATATTTCCAAAATGTAAAGTATGGCGCTTGGGTTGAAATAAATTAGGAAAATAAATTTAATTTAAATAAAATTAAGATACATACGTAAATAAAACAGGTATCAGTGAACGTACACAGGAATGGAATTAGAGAAATTAAGAATTAATATATAATATACACATATAAATATATTATATAATATACATAATCAAATAGTATAAATACACAGTAGAAAAAGGAACATACTATGTTAAATGTATTTTTTTGTAACCATTATAATGTAGTAACGTCACAGAACAATAGAGGATGATTGCAGGTGGCACTCCAAAACTGGAAAAATTTATGGAGCGGCTGGAAGCCAACTTATGCCAAACGGCTTTAGTCTGACGGCACCGATAGGGGTACGAACTTCCGCTTAGGCCGCCGTAATTTCGAACCCCGTTAGAATGGGACAGAAGATCAAACGAAAGAGATGGAAAACTACTACGGTTAAGACATTTACAATAGCAAGAACTAAATCAAAATACATTATTCTATAATATACATCAGTACAGAACGAAAGGCTGCAATGTCCTTTAGTCTCTTTATATTAAAAATTGAAGAGTGTAAATAATATTTCTAGTTATTTCAACAAAAAAAATAACACGTGTAAATAACATTTACTTCAGGCACCACAACTAGCAGAACAGAAGAGCAATATGTCTGATATATTGGAAACGATGGACTTTGAGAGAGAATATTCCCCCAGTATGTGGTCGGAACGATTCCCTACCGCTCAGGAGGTGCTCCGGCATCATGTACGGCGAGTAACTGAAGGTAAGTTTTTATAATATTTTTTGGTTATAACGTGTAAACTTAAAAATACTAAATCATTAAAAAAATGTTTTACACATACTATTTTTATTTGATTGGGTTGTATTTTATAATATAAAAAAATAGAGATACCTACAACTGGACCCATAATAAGTTGGAGCTGGTCTATTGGGCGTTAGCTTTACTGTAATATATACTATATTTATTATATCATTTTTTAACACTATATTTACAGTATTATAAAACTGCAAACATCAAATAAACTCGGGCTTAAAATATTGGATGAAATTTGATTTGACACAGATAGATCATAAAATTGAACTTTTATAGGTATATGTAGCTGCTAATATGCTGCTATAGCTGTAATCATTTTATTATTATTCACGTGCCTAATAATAGAATTTTGTTTACAGTTATAAAATATATTTGCTATACATATATAAAATTTCACGGATAAGTCGCATATACAAACATCTTACGTATTCAGAATACAAATAGGTACTACTTTAGTATTCAATATAAAAACATAATGAGTTTTCAAGAAAACGATGTAGCTATTAACTCATAATTTAAGTACCTATATACATATATGTGTAGATTTATTAATAATAAACACTCACCAAGAACCGTTATCGGTTAAAAACAAACTGACATAGTTGGTTTTTATATTATCAACCGTGTAAAAATAAATATATCTGTAATCATTATTTATTGATAATAATGTTATTTGACTAATACTAATAGGTAATTTCTAACAAGTGTCACTTACTGATCTTTACGTATCCGAAACTAATGAAGGTTATGTTAAGTAAATGTTAATAATTCTTAGAAGTGCAAAATGGGGTTCAATAATAATATTATATATATATATATATATATATATATATAAACACCTCTTTGGGCACTTTGTTGATCACGCCACAACCTACACACTTGCTGATTCCACCTTTTGCACTGAATAACTTGACTCCTATCGCGTATATCTCAGGCGGTATGGCAACGTCGCATTCTATTTTGCGATGCTGCCATATATATTCGTCGATAGTACGATATACTCTACACTTTTTTTACTAATAATTCGTGACTGAATGGCTCCGAACGGCTAAATTTTTGGTATACACAAAGACTTTTTGGCTCTGAATATATTCCAAAAATCAATTAATTATGTTGATCGCTTTATATACTCGTCCTTACTGCGATACTTACTTTCATCCGAATATATATAGATACCGTAACGGTCTATCAATTATGACTTTATTAATTTACTAATGTAGATATTTTATATTCGCAATGCTCCATACATGCAAGCTCAAGCAACGGTGGAGGCAGGGGGGAGCACCGTACACCGCACCCCGCGCACACAAACAAATTAGATATTTTTTGAATACACAAAGACTTTTTGGCTCTGTATATATATTTCAAAAATCAGTTAATTGTGTTGATCACTTTATATACTGGTCCTTACTGCGATACTTATTTTAATCCGAATATATATAGATACCGTAACGGTCTATCAATTATGAATTTACTAATGTAGATATTTTATATTCGCAATGCTCCATACAAGCAAAGCTCCAGCAACGGTGGAGGCAGGGGGGAGCACCGTACACCGCACCCCGCGCACATAAACAAATTAGAATAAATTAAATTCATAAGATTATTTATATATTTCGACTGCCTCGGTGGTCACACCGCTTTACATCCGATGGTCGCGGGTTCGACTTCTCGCACGATGCAAACATTTGTACTCATCGGTCATCGATTGTTTTCATCGGTCTGGGTGTTTTATATGTATATTATATATGTATTTACAAAATAAAAATATCTATTTATATCAGTTCAGTATCAGTCTGTGTTAATTGTCCAGGGTTATTTATTATATTTTTATAAACGGTTATCTTTTTCCATATATACCGCTCGCTATCGACAGTGAATTCATAGAAATGTCACTCTAAAAACAAAAATAGTTTTGTGTTTTGTATTTCAAATACTAAATGCAAAATAGGTATTTTCAAAATACTTTTTAAAAATTAAGTACCTTTTGAATTTTTGTCCAAACCTCAGATATTTTATTTATTTTAGGTATATCAATCATTACATAGTAATATAAAAACAAAGTCGCTGTCGCATCTAACAGTACATAAACAAAGAAAGAAGACTTTGGCTCTGATACCGTAACGGCCTATGAATTATGAATTTATTATACCTAATCTAGATATTTTATATTCGCAATGCTACGTACATTGTAATATCCGCCTCCATTCATTGTAACGGTGGAGGGACTAAATAGTTGAATAAAACTGAATAAGCAGTTGCTCCACTCTATAGGTACTGCGTCGTCGTCGTATGCTGTTCATTTTTTCACTCGTTTTGGCGCCAAGAGAGGGTCACATAGTCGTGGTCAAGTTAAGAACTTATAATTTAATTTTGATAACAATAGATACAAGTAAAAAGTAGGTATTATATTAATGTACGTAATACTGTACTTAAAAATATTTATTCTTTACTGTATGTACATTTGAAAAACTTAACACTTACTTGTACATATACACGTACATACTGCCATTTTCTCTTAAAGACATCCAGAGAAGCACTATTTATCAAATACGCGGGGTGCACCGACCTTTGACCTTATAACAGCTGATTCGCGCGTAACGAATTACATTGCTACTTTTTGGTATTTTATAGTGGATATGTCACTATAAAATATTATTATTTCTTTAGATTATGACATAATAACATAGTTTACATGATTTTAAGGGAAACATACGATAAAAAAAAATCCCGTAAAATGTAAAAGATAAAAAATGGTTATTGTTGGTTATCCTTAAGAGATAGACATATATATCACGGACTTTTTTGTTGACCTTATTTTGATACATCTCAAAGCACTAGACAACACGCATTTTCATTAAACAGTATTGTATTTTTTTATTTCTTTAACTTTAATGCACAAAAAAATTTGTACATGTGGCGGACTTAATATTTTGCCGCGTTATTTACCAGGCAACCATGAGTGGTGCAGCGAAAGATTATTGGCGGTGCACTAATATAAATAAGAAATGTCATTTATAAAGATAATAAAGATAAGCAAAATATACATTTCTATAAAAAAATAACAATATACATACATAAATATATATCTAAATATAACCCATAAATGTATAAATATTATATATAAGTAAATACATAATGATCCGATAATCAAATTATAAGTACAGTCTCAAATTGAAAGTAAGAAAATCAGAAAATATAGAGAGAACTATATGGATATAACAGAAAGATGTGAAAAAAGGAGAAGCACAGTAAAAAAGTTACAAATTTAAATAATGTTCCCGCAATTTCTGTTTAAATGAATTTATTACATTATTATATATATTGGGCATACGACTAGCCTTATGACTGTTACTTTTTTTTTAATCTATACATCTATACATGTAAATAAAATTGGAGTGTCTGTTTGTAATATTGAAATAACCGTTTTTTACTACTTGCATATGAATATAAATACGGTTACACCAAAATAACATATTTTACAAGTTTTGTCTGTCTGTCTGTCTGTTTGTTCCGGCTAATCTCTGAAATAGCTGGACCGATTTTGACGGGACTTTTTTTGGCAAGTAGCTGATGTAATAAGGAGTAACTTACGCTACTGTTATTTTAGAAAAATAAAATAAAATTTCACGCGGACGAAGTCGCTGGGGCCAGCTAGTCTATAGATATACCGAGAATTAATGTTTAAGTTGCTATTATGTTGTTGACAAAATTTTACTGTAATGTTATACTATTACGTTATCCTACACAATTTGTATTATTTTGGATGAATAAATAAATAAATAAATAATAATCTATACATCTATACATTTAATAAAAATTGGAGTGTCTGTTTGTAATATAGAAAAAACCGTTTTTTACTACATGCATATGAATATATATAAGGTACATATACCAAAATAACAATTTTTATAATTTTTGTCTGTCTGTCTGTCGGTCTGTTTGTTCCGGCTAATCTCTGAAATGGCTGGACCGATTTTGACGGTACTTTTTTTGGCAGGTAGCTGATTTATAAGGAGTAACTTAGGCTACTTTTATTTTAGAAAAATAAAGTTAATTCCACGCGGTCGAAGTCGCGGGGACAGCTTGTTTTTAATAAAAACTGTTTATTTGATAAAAAAACATCTTTTTTGTGGTACTTGAGAATGTTGAAGCCTGTTGTTTGTAATATTGAAATAACCGTTTTTTACTACAATATAAATACGGTACATACACCAAAATAACATATATATTTTTGTCTGTCTGTCTTCTGTTCCGGCTAATCTCTGAAATGGCTGGACCGATTTTGACGGGACTTTTTTGGCAGGTAGCTGATGTAATAAGGAGTAACTTAGGCTACTTTTATTTTAGAAAAATAAAGTTAAAAACCACGTGGACGAAGTCGCGGGAACAGCTAGAGTATAATATATTAGAGATACCTACGTGTTTTTTATTGATGACTAGCTGTACACGGGATTTCGTCCGTGTTAATTTAACTTTATTTTTCTAAAATATAAAAAATTCCACGCGGACGAAGTCGCGTGTACATTAGTCTAGCGATTTAGCTAGCACACTGCTTTGATTCCTGCTTGGTGGTCGAGGGTTCGATTCCTCGCACGCTGCAAACATTTGTATTCATGAGTATGATTGTTTGTAACGGTCTGGGTGTTTTCTATGTATAGATAATATATATGTATTTACGAAAAAAAAATCTTTGTATTTATATCAGTACCCATAACATAATCTTCAGCTAGCTTAACTTTGGTCTAGATGAAGCTGTGTGAATTGTCCTGAGATTACTATTATTACTATAATAAATCTTTTCAAATCAGCCGATGTTTATTTTTGCCATAATACGTGCTGTTACCATGTGATAATATTACGTACGTACTTATTAAACTATTAACTTATTATTAAATTGCTTGTAACGGTCTGGGTGTTTTCTATGTATAGATAATATATATGTATTTACGAAAAAAATCTTTGTATTTATATCAGTTGTCTAGTACCCATAACATAATCTTCAGCTAGCTTAACTTGGGTCTAGATGAAGCTATGTGAATTGTCCTGAGATTACTATTATTATTAATTGGTACACAGGTAAACTACTAACTAGGCCATATTGGTGTTGTTTGTTATGGTGAAAAAACTAGTAGGTATATATATAAGTTACACGTATATTTCTTGAAAACTACTGGCCATTCTGAAATAAAACTTTAGGGTTTGTATATGTAATGTTTGCATATAAAATATGATTAAAGGTGTATTTACACTTTTACTAAACAAACAGAGTTGTTTAATACTGAAAATATTGTGTGGAAGGCATCAATTACTTTCAGTGCATGTATAGCTTTTCTCTTTTCCTAATTATTATTATTATTAAGTTTAAAGTGGTTGAATTTTACGTAAGGGGTTTTTATACATTATTTCTAATGTACCATTTATTTTAAGTTTTTTAAACTCTATTCATCGAGACCTATCTAATGAGTCCAAACACGATATTTCTGCTGTAAGTTTTCGAAGAGTATGTTCATCATCTGATAATACTGGTGCCAGCATGAAGTCAAGGTTAACAGATAACTAATTACTTTTATTTCGTCAAAATCTTTAGATTACGTTTAAATTCATAATATCGCTACCTATTCAAATCAAAACAAGTATTAGGTACTTCATGTACTAGTATATAAATTCATCAACACACAAGTAAATGATTTTTAAATATATTCAGAGGCAAAAAATCTTTGTGCATTTAAAAAAAATGCCGATACGGATTCACTATTGCAGGAAATTGTTGAAAAAATATATATCGAGTATAAGTATCTACTACTATCGACGAATACATTTGGCAACAACGCATGGTCTCGGCCGGAACGGCAACATCGCATATTAGAATACAAAGATAGTGATAGAAAGAGAGAGACAGTGGATCAGCAATATCTACGGATCGTGGCTGGATCAAATTAGTGTGCAAGTTTATATAAATATATATATATATATATACATTTGTCTTTAATTCAAAGGAAATATAAATAATGAACGCATCACATTTAAAACAGTATAAATAGTTAATAATTTAATAATAAGTTAATAGTTTAATAAGTACGTACTTAATATTATCACATGGTAACAGCACGTATTATGGCAAAAATAAACATCGGCTGATTTGAAAAGATTTATTATAGTAATAATAGTAATCTCAGGACAATTCACACAGCTTCATCTAGACCAAAGTTAAGCTAGCTGATATGTTATGGGTACTGATATAAATACAAAGATTTTTTTTTCGTAAATACATATATATTATCTATACATTTACAAACAATCATAATGAATACAAATGTTTGCAGCGTTGAACACCACCAAGCAGGAATCAAAGCAGTTTTAAATCGCTAGACTAACAACTAGCTGTACACGCGACTTCGTCCGCGTGGAATTTAACTTCTTATATTTTAGAAAAAAAAAGTTAAATTCAACACGGACGAAATACAGCTAGTCATTAAAAAAACACGTAGGTTCTCTAATATATTATACACTAGCTGTTCCCGCGACTTCGTCCATAATATTTTTCTAAAATAAAAGTAGCCTAAGTTCATTACATCAGTATTTCAAAATCGGTCCAGCCATTTCAGAGATTTTGTAAAATATGTTATTTTGGTGTATGTACCGTATTTATATTCATATGCAAGTAGTAAAAAACGGTTATTTCAATATTACAAACAACAGGCTTCAACATTCTCAAGTACCACAAAAAAGATATATTTTTATATACTAGCTGTTCCCGCGACTTCGTCCGCGAGGAATTTAACTTTATTTTTCTAAAATAAAAGTAACCTAAGTTACTCCTTATAAATCAGCTACCTGCCAAAAAAAAGTACCGTCAAAATCGGTCCAGCCATTTCAGAGATTAGCCGGAACAAACAGACAGACAGACAGACAGACTAAAATTATAAAAATAGTTATTTTGGTATATGTACCTTATATATATTCATATGCATGTAGTAAAAAACGGTTTTTTCAATATTACAAACAGACACTCCAATTTTTATTAAATGTATAGATGTATAGATTATTATTTATTTATTTATTCATCCAAAATAATACAAATTGTGTAGGATAACGTAATAGTAACATTACAGTAAAATTTTCTCAACAACATAATAGCAACTTAAACATTAAATCTCGGTATATCTATAGACTAACTGGCCCCAGCGACTTCGTCCGCGTGAAATTTTATTTTATTTTTCTAAAATAACAGTAGCGTAAGTTACTCCTTATTACATCAGCTACTTGCCAAAAAAAGTCCCGTCAAAATCGGTCCAGCTATTTCAGAGATTACAGACAGACTGTACTATGCTATACTATGTATTGATTGATATAAAAATAAATATAATATCTGAGGTTTGAACAAAAACTCAAAGGGTAATTTATTTTGAAAAAGTATTTTGAAAATACCTATTTTGCTTTTAGTGTTATAGTACTTTAACTGTTATGTTTTAAGTAACAATGTTTAATTATAATTAATACTACTGCACCAACACTCCGATCGTGCAAAAAATTTAGCTGTTTCATTATTTTTTAGTTCAATTAGTGGTCTACCTAAGTCCTGAAGGGGGGGAACATACCCCCCATAACTCCCAAGACCTCCATGACGCTCCCCCTGGATCCGCCGTTACGTTTCTCTTCATTCGCTCAGTAACGTTGTTACAAAAGGAAAAATTCCCGTCCAAAAAATAACAAGTATTGAGGTTTGATCTGGAATCACGTTACTCCAGACTGATTTCTATAAATATTTAGATTAGGTAGACTATTATTTTTGAAATACTAGCTAGACATTATTAAGTTACTGTAGCCATAATGTAGTAGCCAAAACGTGCCAATGAGGAAGCCCTTGGCAAATGCTGCACCCTGATTGGCCCGTTTGAATTGGATCAAGAACTGCTCGTATGCCAAAAAGGTGGATTTGTATAAAATCGTGTATAAATCGCTTAATTATTATTATTACTCGTCGTGACAGTTGTGGCTCAAAACGGATCAACATTTATATATGGTCATCTGGCATTAGATCAACAAAAGGCCTCCGGATCAACAAGTGAAAAAGGATCAACAAAAAACTATCCGTTTTGAGCCACAAAGTGCCCAAGGGGATATTTATATATATATATATATATATATATATATATATATATATATATATATATATATATATTATTGAACCCCATATAACATTCGCAATTTTGGCAGTTACAATAATTAAAAACTTATATAGCCTGTTTCTAAAAACAATAAAAAAAATATTATAATCATTATATTATAATAATACATGAAGTAAAAATTTCGTAGGTACCCCTTTTTACGAAAGTTAAGCGGACGCAGAAGGATGAAATTTTGCACACTTACTTCACATAGAGAAGGAGTGCAGTTATATTTTCGCATCATGCTAATATTTTTTTAATAATGTATGCGAATACATTAAATCAATAAAAACCATTACACATACTATCATGTATTTGACACATACATGCTTAAGTACTTTTTCGTTTAATTATGGTTCGAAAATCTTTTGGTATTTTTTCTTATAGTCGAATTTCGACCACAATAGTTTCATATATATTTTGTTCTTTCTTCTTAACTCTTCCCGGTCTGCGAGGGTCATTAGTATGGTTCAATCATACATTACACATAATTTACATTATCATTGTAGGACTAAATCCGATCGGAAAAATACAGAATAGATATCGATACAATATAAGTACCTATGATAATTAAAAATACATTAGCCGAACCTTAATGAGACATTATTAAACATATCTATTAATTATGAACTCACATTTTTGTATCTATGCATAATATAGTTCAGAATATATTTGACAAAGTATACAATTATTTAATAATTGAGAAATTATAATGTTAAATAATGTTCGATTGCCTGTAAGAGACTGCTACGTGCACTTTATAATATACTGTACATATTCTTTATTTATTATCTGTGCGCAATAAAGAGTTATTGATATTATTGACTTTGTTCTTCTTTCAGCTAGTGAGACTGCTACAAACCAAATTCCACATAAGTTGGAAATTGAATATGGACCTACATCGGGACAGAAGTTAGATATTCTTGGTATAAATCTTCCAGATGGTATGTGGATTTTTTTTAATAATGTTATGTAAATCAAGGTAACATTGTTTTGATTATAGATAATTTATTAAAGGAATTTAATTTTGATAAATTTATTCTAAAACCTAATTATAAATTATTGACAAGTTTTTTATATATTATAAAATTTGAGATAGTCTTTTTTCATGAGATAATATTTGTTAACTTTCATAGTATTTCATAGTATTTCTTATCTGAGCTGCAACATAATTGTGATCGTTTTAATATGTAATAATATATGGATTATTATGACTTAGTACCAAAATTTTTATAGTGTTTTAGATAATACGAGCCTATAGTATACATAGATGGATAGACTGTTATTTTCATTATAAACACATCCTCCATTAGCACCTGTGATTTTAATAAAATAAATTCATAACGTTAATTTAAATTAACACATAGTCGAACTGAATTGAAAACTACATTTCAGTTCGTTGTTTAATTCAATACAAACTATCCTAAATAGTATTGAAACAATATTATTGATGACGTAGGTACATACGAGTAATGACAGAACGGCATACATTAAATTCCAAAATACAAATATTTACTATAGTAACATAATTAGGTATTGGCGCAAGTTTTAATTTTATTGTTTTTCATTATTCGGCGCAGGTATGTGTAGTAAACAATGGTTTACAATAATCGTAAACTTATAGCCAAATGACCGCCTTTGTAATTTTCTTTTTAACACTTTTTGTATATGCATTGTGCCCGCAACTAAAATTTCTATATTGTTAACTGTGTTATTACTAAATGCTTAAAAGATAAGGCGTAGGTATCTTGATTTACAACTATCCCTCTAATATCTAACGTGAAGCAGTAATTTATGAATGGCAAATTACAGTACCATTTGTGTTATGCTTTTGTTTAATATATGTGTATCGTCAAAAAAAACAGAGTAATAACAATAAATGTATAAAATGATAACTATTTAATAGTAATATAATTTAATCGTGTTTACATGTCAATTACATGACTTAAACCAAATGTAATTTACATATTTAATTTATTATTAAAATATTACATTTTAAGTTACTAACTAATTACAATTAAGAAACGAGTGACACCGTACGATGCTAGAACGAATGTACCCTAGAAGTCATAACATAACGCAAACCACAGTTGCTACAAGAACCTAGTTAACGTTTTACAGATTAAATATCAAATTAACAATATTCAAATTAAAACATTCCAACTAATATATTGAAATTGTGGCATAGTGGCCTCGTTCATTCCTCAGTGTATGTAATTTCAGCTTTTCAACAGTTTTGGATTGGAGTATGCACTGCATATGTAATATGTCATAGTTTTTATTCCATGTCGACTAATGTCATTTAATTACATTGTCGACTTATTTCACAGACTCACCAATACTCGTGTACGTACACGGAGGCTATTGGCAGGAGTTATCACGAGAAGTGTCAAGATATCCAGCTCTACCGTTGTACCAGGCTAAGATCAAAACAGTCGTAGTGGGCTACGATCTCTGTCCTATGGCAACACTCGCAGAAATTGTCAATCAAATAAAATCAGCGGCCAGATTCGTGTTTGAATATGCTGAAAAAATGGGTAGCAGGTGAAGAAAAAAATATATTTTTATTTTTATTATAATGTAATTGGAATACAGATACGCTTACGTGGTACCTCTTACGCGTTGTCATTCCGGGTAACTACCAATGGTCAAGCACCATTGTCTGTAATGTTTAGTACCTCGTAATGTCAGCCTCCATGCCTCACCCTTCAACCGAAACAGACTTTGGTTGTAGTAAGGCGGCTAAATAGCTGAGACCTATGAGGCAGATGATGGTGGACAAAGACTAACTATATTTAGGTTCATCAAGCAGTTTATTTGTCTAAAAAAAATAAAGTTATATAATATATATATACTTAACATGACAATAAAGTGTCAAGTTTTTACTACAACATGTTGCAAAAGTTAAGTCAGATTTCTACCACTTTAAATCGTTGCTAACTAATACTCTTTAATTCAAATTAGCAACTATTTGATATGGTAGTTGTTAAAAAATATATGCGTTTAACACATAAATTTTAGTCACGATTTGAGTCAAAGTTAAATCTTTTGCGTATATTTATAACAAAAACAAATTGGTGATGAGACGAACAACCGTAATCGACCTTATAGTATAGATTCCACCTAAGTAGGTAAGCGAAATAAATGTCGGTCTACTTTCCATATGTATGTATAAAAATCAAACGTTATATTTCCTACTTTTCATATGCATTGGTTTCAACTGACTGTGATATTGCGTAGACTATGAACCTACCTACGCTGCCTTCACGCATTTGAACGTCTATGGGTTATACATATATGTAATCTCATTGGTTACGGAATAAAATATATATATATATTACTTGCAAATAACGTGTGTTTAATAGGCAAAGGTTACCTACCATCAGATGACTCGAGAGGTGTGGTTGGCATTAAATAAAGTTGAGAAAAATATTATTTCTCTATGGGATACATATATGTATTGTACTCAAAAACTGTCCTAACACAATATCAGGTTAAAAATATACATTTATAAAAAACTAGCTACTCGCCCCGGCTTCGACCGGGTATTATATGTATTATACATATAAATCTTCCTCTTGAATCACTCTATCTATTAAAAGCCGTTTTAAAATCCGTTGCAACAGCGACTTTGTTTTATACTATTGTTCTTCTTTATCTATATTTGTTATTATTAATTTGTCATGAAACAAAAGTATGTTGGTTAGTAAATGAATAAAGGGAGAACCCTATATAGTAATGGTTGTCACAAATATTTACCAGCATACCTACATAATATCCCTGTTTATTTGCAGAGGAGTGTACTTCGCTGGCCATTCGGCGGGTGCTCATCTCGTAGCGAAGCTTCTATCAAACGCAGACTTTCTCGAGAGTACAGTGGGATCCTCTCGTCTTCAAGCAGCATTCCTAATATCTGGTATATATGATCTTCGGGAGGTAATCCACACGTCTGTCAATGACGCAATCCAGCTGCCGGACGAATGGGCCATCCCGATGTCACCCCAGTTCGACTGTTACACGCATCTACAAAGAAGAAGAACGCGCATTTATATTTTAGCTGGTCAAAACGATAGCCCCACATTCAAAAGACAGTCTAGAGAGTTTTATGAAGTATTGCACAATACTTGTCTAATGCAAAATATGTATTTAGAGATAAAGGATGATATGGATCATTTCGACATTGTGGAATGTTTTGCCAATGACAATAATTTTCTGAAGAATTTGCTAGTTCATGATATACGGAAACATTTGTGAATTTGTTTAAAATTATATAATTTCCTCTCGTATGTTTCAATGAATAAAATCGTTAGAAGTTAAATACATAAATAGGTAGGTATTACCTACCTATATATGTATTTAACTTAACTTAATTTACGTGTAGATGCGCTAGATGAGTTTTAATTAACATCATTTTAAGTCCATTTTTAACTAATGCCTAAATATATTAATATTATATATCGTGACACAAATTAAAATCGCTCGCTATTTTCTAGTGGAACTGTTTTGACTTGGGGCAACACATATTTACATATGAAATTTATTCTATTACAAATTGGGCGAGCAATATTATTTTAATGCCTCAGGACATAATTGATATAATATATAATTTGCAGTGTAAATTTGATTTGAAAACATATATGTTCTAACTGTAATGTGCATGATATTAAAATAAGTGATATAATTTTATAACATTATCTACTACCTATCAAGTTGTAGTATTAATTTTAAACTTCAGTGTATCAGAACAACTATACGATTAAATCCAATAAATAGTCCCGTCCGTAGTGTAATTAAATTACCAATAGGTTTATATGTATATTGATGATTTGTTTTGTGTATTTTAGATATTATTTATATGCTTGTTAGATAAAGAGTTAAAATACTTTGTTTTTTAAACTTATACGATTATTTTTCTGGCTCGTAGTCGCGAACTATATAATATTCTTTTATCTGTTCGAATATACTTTAAAATTTTAATTTTTTATTATATTATGGAATATATAGTTATAAATAATTAAAATTAGCGTATTGTAAACTTAAATTTAATGTGTTAAATTCAAAAGACTGATATTATGTATTTGCGGTAGTAAAATGACGATCATGAAGAATGCTTTATGTAGAAGTGCATTTCTATAATAAATATTAGAATGTTATAACCAAAATATACTTTTATTTTGAATAATCTTTCAAAATAATTTAACAGACGTTGATTAACAGATGTGATTTTTAAACTACAATACAATCATTTATGAAATCGAGTAATACAGTTTGTTTTAGCCTAGGTGTTTGTCTTGTATGTGCACTTATAGGAAATTATTAAAGTTTCCATCACTAACAATTCCTTCTTTTACTTCGTGCTTTGGTACTCTTGAAGTCTAAGTTATGGCAGTAGAGTTAAATGGAGCTAAAAACAAAATGGGCCACACAATAAATTGCATTATGTCTACTGCAGAGATGTAACTAAAAATATAACAACCAAATATCTAACATTTCATTTCGAACGGAACGGAAAATGAGCTCAGTAAATAATTCGAAATTCGATCCAGTAGAATTCTTTGTGTTGTTAGAAACAAATTAATGTATTTTGGATAAATTATTATATAAAGAATACTCTGTACCTACTTCAGTTTGTATTCATCTATCAATTGTTGTATATGGTGCAATAACTACGCAACTACTAACTATGGGCCCCATCAACAAGCTCAGAGTCACTCAGAGGGCAATGGAGAGGGCTTTATCGAATCAGAAATGAGGAGAACTACCGACATAGCCCGAAGAATTGCGACTTTGAAGTGGCAATGGGCAGGGCACATAGCTCGTAGGACAGATGGCCGTTGGGGCAGTAAAGTCCTCAAGTGGCGACCACGGACCGGAATACGCAGCGTGTTAAAAATCTTTGGGGGAGGCCTATGTCCAGCAGTGGACGTCTTCCAGGCTGCGATGATGATGATGATGAACTACGCAACCTATCGAATTTAAAACTAAATAGGGTTACGTTGTTAAAAATGGCTATTTATTATTAATTGCTGGGATGAACAAACCGACTTGAGATGTCTAATGCAGGCGTCTTTGTTTTCAGCTCAAAAGGTGTGGTATATAGTAGTGAAATTACAGTAGGTATGCAACATATGGCAACTTATGGAAAGTACTGAGTACATAATGACGCGATGTCTACCGCACTCTCCTTGTAGTATTTATTTAATGCTTTATATTATATTTATTTATTACATCAGAAGTCTATTACAAAAAATATAAATTAGAGTAATAGAAATAATCGCTTATCAATCAGTTCCAAACAATCTGCGTGTATAGGATAGAAGACAAAATGTAGTAGTAGGTGGCGCATGAATGGATAAGCTAGAGTAGAGTAAGGACGGCATCGATGATCTAATAGTTTTGCATACTACCTTACTTGCAATGGCCGCGACTTCAATCGAAGTGTAAATATCGTCTGGGTGTTTTCTATGTCTATTATGTATTTATAAAATATGTATCCATGTATTTATCCAGTTATCTAGTATCTATAACACAATCTCTTATTAATTTGGAACTAGATGGCACTGTGTGAATTGTCCAGGGTCATTATTCTTTGTCTAATATATACAATTTTCGTGTCTCAGTGTTTGTAAAAAAATATTGTGAAATAATGTATGTTAGACTTTATTTTCCGCATTTTGCCTCTCATGAGAACTTGTAGCGATCTCCATATATGTATATAGGCTACAGTTACCACTTGCTACCATCAGCTCGTATGTCATTCCAATTACTTTAAAACAGACGTGTACGACTTAGTACAACCTTCATCTTAAAAAGTAAGTTCTATTTTATTATTGATTTAAAAAAATAATGCACTAAACAGGTCTTTGTACCATCATCGATGTATTTTAGAGTCTTAATTGCGAAATTTATTTCTGTGCGAGAATTAAAGTGGCCCGTTAAATTTACGAGCGGTTACTGATTAACGATGGTATTAATTCTTATAAGCCATTAGCTTTCTTGTCCTAATTTGTATTTGAGTCGTAACTATAAATTTCAGAAGCAGGATAGAGGGCTGAAGTGATGGACCATGTGATGTTTAACATTTCATCCTCTATTTTAATTAATACACACATTCTAATAACAACATATATAAAACTTGTAATAAATACTCTACAAGTTTTGTACCTGAACAAAACTTTAACCGCGAGTTCATCCTTTTCGAGATTACCTAGGTCTTAATTTCATTAACATTCATTCAGTTTAGTCGTGAATAAGTAATAAATAGACAGACAGATAAAATGCATTTATAATGAGAAATACAGAATAACCGTCCAATATCAAATTCCATTACTCCTTAGTATAACTCCGTGTATAATCTAAATGTTAACATCTGACTGGATCATCGCACAAAATTATAGAAAATAGTACAAAAAGCATTTTGCATATTTTGCTTAATAAGTAAAAATAATGGGCTAAGAAAAAACTACGATATTGGGAAAAATAATAATAATAGAAATAATGTATGATTTTTTTTATGTATTTGAGCGACCAACAATATACACTATGAAGTTACAGTTATTATTAATTGCAAGAAGTTCAGGTATATAGTGTTGACTTAATTACTAATAGCATGTGTAAATATTTACAGAAGTTTTATGTTTGGTATCATTATTACATAGTATAAAACAAAGTCGCGGTCGCTGTCTGTCCGTCCCTGTGTATGCTTAAATCTTTAAAACTACGCAATGGAATAGATAGAGTGATTTAGAGCAAGTTTTATACGTATAATACATGTCAAATATTTTCTAATTCATTCATAATTATGAATGAATTGGAAAATATTTGACACATTTATATTTCGTATAGCTTCGTATACGTTTCTATGCAGCTACATTTATCGACAACGGTACTCTAATATTCTAATGATTACAAGTACCTACCGATTATTGCGCTGCTGTGTTAAAATTATCAATTAATTATTCATAAGCATGATTCCAATATGACACTAAAAGCATTTCGGGTTCAAGTCGAATAAAGCTATTATCTATGCTTACCTATCATACGCCTTCTCTTAGAAAAAGTAAAATTATTTATTATTAGTAAATAATATCGAACACAATATATTAGTACTTATCTGTTACTCGTGACTTTGTCTACTTTTATTGATATATAATATAATTAGTTATACTAATATTATAGACATTCGACCTCGTGATTCAATCCCGTCCGGGTTTCGCAGAGATACATTATACATATGTATAAACGTTCCTCTCAAATCACTTTATCTATTGCTGAAAACTGTTATAAAATAGTTGCGTAATTTCAAAGACATATAACAGAGAAGAAGACATAAGACAGACAATGCCAGCGACTTTATATTATGTAAATATTTTATTAAGATCTTTTCAGTCAGATATTTTTTGCCGTGAAAGGGTAACAAGCGGACAGACAGACGTACGTAATTTATATTATTAGTAGATAGATTTAAATTGTGCAAATGAGTTTTATAAAGACGACTTAACTGAAATCGGAGCTACATCTGTTGACTGGGCGAAACCATTTATATATGCACGAGCCTTCGCTCTCGTAACACATTGTACTCGTAATAATGGTAAACATGCCGTATTCGCTTAGCATGTTGGTACATCTATTCTATTCTTCTGTATGGCATTGAAAACACCCCTTACGGAAACGATGTGTAAAATAATACAAGTATTCACGATGTGAATATACCCCAGAATGTTGAAGATACCGTGGGACTAAGAGATAATTTGCGAAACGAGAATTTCGAATCGCGCAGAATATATAAAATACAGAATTTTTAAATAACTTAAAACCAGTTCTTGTATGTACATGTATAAGTCTAAGCCTAATTAAATATTTAAACGTCTCGGTAATTATACGTACATGTACCTAATATTATTAGTTGTAATCTGTAAGAGTTTGTACAAAGTAAGCAAGATATCTTCTAAAATATATCTACTAACATATGTGAATCTCCATTGCCTTTTTAAAAATATATGATTTTTTTCATCTCTGATGAGGTCTAGTCTACATACAGCATCACTAAACCTTACTATTTCATAAATATTTTAATTAGACATAACAAGAAAAATTCGTTCTCTGTATACCTCAAAGTTACGGTTCCTGTGTACTAAGATATTATACCTTATTACCCAGTGATTTCACAGCAACATATATCCTACCGTTTAAACTTAAATAAACACTCAAAATTAGTATAAAAGTTAGATATTTTTATACTACGGTGGTGGCAAACAAGCAAATGACCCATGTGATGGTAAACAATTATTATTATTGTAGCCTATGGGACTCCTGACAACCTGACACACCAGGGGTGTCACGTGCGCATTGGCAACCCATAAGAAACTTTAATAAATCCTTGTTGAAAAACCCCATAGTCCTCGAGGAGGATTTCGGCTGCTTAAAATTTCTCTTATCATTCTAAATGGCTGACCTAGTTTTCCTTCATGGTTCACGTCAAAATTAAGTTTTTGTGTAAAGGAACGTATTGTATCTTAAGTGTAAAATGTCAGATACGGGTCTTCAAACAGTTTTACTTGTTTTAGTCAACAAAAACTGTTTTTGTTGAGCCAAGTCCCTAAATTCCGGAATATAGGGTACGACACCCACGTTACATAACAATGATTATAAACTTTTTGTTTGACATTTTACCTTTATTCATTATTTACAAAAAGGCTGATAGTTTCACAGTTTTCTATGATATTGTTTAATCCTCTCCTGCATTTGTATCTGAAAGTGATTTTATTTCATTGTAAATGGACTAATCTATTTTATCTAATTTCCAATCATTGATACGTACAAGATATATTCTAGTTTAATGTATTTATAAGGTGTATATTTTATTCTTATCGAAGAAGTCAATTAGATAATAGCTTACGTTGTTCTGTACCACAATTAATTTCCAAAGCCATTTTTCAAATTACTTTTGTTAAAATCTAAGCAGAATTCTTGGTGTAAAAATCATATCTTACATTTCTGTCCGTATAACCTTCGTACAGAAAAGAATTGTGACTATTCTGATTCTATGACGCCGATTCCCCATTAACGAAATTACCAAGACACAATGTAAATTGGAATGAAATGAATACTTTCTTGCATGTAAAGAAACATTTACATTTTTAAATTTATAATCATAAAAGTTGAATATTTTTTAATTATATCTTGTATATCTCACTGGTATATCAATCATTACTGCTCTATAATCTGTTGTTTGGACTTTATCAAATTAGGTGCAGGAATTTGGTGTCCCTAAGTCTCATTTTTACATTCATATGATTACTGATGTGCATTGTGCAGTCGCAGTAAACAACTAGTCAACGTACAATGTTAACTAACAAATATATTTTTTAAATTATTTCCTACTATGTGACATTGACCTTTTACTCACAGTAAATTAGGGTTTTGAAGGTACTTAGGAAGCTTCCTTATTATTTTCTGTTCACTTATTAATGTACAAATGTCTTCAGAGTTGATGATTCGTTTCATATCTACAGCCTATATAAATAAATCCCGGTTGGCCTTTTCCCGTAAGCTTACCTTACGAGGGACGCTAGACGACAAACATAAAAGAATTTCAATAACGTTTCGGCGATATTTAGGTATTTTGGATATTATATTTGAATTTCAAACGAAGTGAAAGAACCTCAAAATAGATTAGATACATCACAGCGTATTTATCTTAATCTACCTACCTCCATTCGGAAAATAGGTAATCAATGTCGTAATATTCGTTCAATTTTAAAAGATGCTTCTCAATTTGACTTTATGTATCCTAATATGTATTTTATACAACATATATTCATGCTTGAGTATTTATTGTATGAAAAGTCTTGATAGCGCAATTAAAATATAGTATTATAATTCGTAGTTTAAATATGATTTTTTGGCAATTAATAAAAAACTAAACTACTTTTATTTTATAAAAATGAAGTTATTCTCTATTTAATTCCATGCGGACGAAGTCACGGGAACAGCTATCATTAATATATATTAATACATGAAAAACTATAAAACAACGGATGAATATGAAATTTCGCGTTTTATACAAAAATATATATATAAAAACATAAAATATTATTACCTTTATTTCACACACACACATGCATTTTATTCTTTGATATTGTTATCCATGATGGTAACTATAGTTTACTATATATTATAATATATAGTATAACTATAGTTGGCTAATATGTATATGAACAAGAAAGAACTGTACAAACTTTCCATTAATTTCCTTATACAAATTGCGAAGGTGGCAATATTTTGTAAATGAAAACGATCGAATCTAAATTACATTCATCGAATACACTATCGATGTATTTTACATCGCAGTGGCGTGTTATACCTCATACCTCATACGTATACTACATACTTTTGTATTACTAAGTTTTTCGGGAGGCTTTGTAAAGTTGTACTTGGTAGCGTACTACGAAGGCGGGCGGCGAACGGCAGACCACCGCGCGCCGCCGCCCTGTGTAGACTCTGCTACTTCGCAACATGTGAACCAAATATGCGATTTACGACGTTACAGAAACTTTATAAAAACATAAAAGCATTCAAACCAGAACTGTGAGGCTACAAAGCAATACAATCAAAATTATTTATAGTAACTTATTAAAAGTTTACGACGTGTATATTAAATGTCGAAGTAGTTTCTTGTGCTTATCGTCGAAATGGTAAAGGTAAGTTTACATTTTTTAATAAGTATAATAACTATTGCGATTTTTTACTATCTTTTGTACATTAAAAAATTATATTAATTTACCGATATACATATAGGTAGGCGGAGTACAATGAAGAGGGTAATTCATTGTACTCCTATTAGCTGATATTATTATTAGCTAAAATAAAAAACATTGATAAAGCTTTGTAATTTTATACAACGTATCTTTCCTGAAACACCCACATACATTAAATGATTTTAATTGTTTTAAGGAAAAGTCATACTTTTATGGTACCATTTTAAAAATAAAATATTCTGAATTATTTTGATGTACTTATAGGTATTATATTTTTATAATTGAGCCCCACATTTTACATCTAGAATAGATTATTTTTAATATAATTTACTGTCCTGCCTCTATAATATACTCTGTACTGTGGTAGTTAAAACTTATTTTTTTTAATAAAATAATATTAATTCATAATAAATAGCATTTATGAATGTTTATTTTCAGAAAGATTTTATTATTAATCAAATATTTTATAAAACCTTAATACATAAAGTCAAATTATGGGTGGTGTAGAGAAATGTTTTCATGAACTCTAGTCTTCATTTACTGAAATTATGATAGAGTTTTAATAGTTCCATAACATTAATTTAAGCCGTTCCGATGAATTTATACCCGCTCTCAGATTGAAAATGTATCCGTCAGGCAGAAGTTGATTGGAGTTCGAGTGCGTTGGCTTTTCAGTCGCTCCAAATTTTCTTTCATAGACTTCGAGTAGATTCTGCCACTTGCTTCCATTTTTGTTTGATAAAACTATAGAGCCAATCTACGATTAATTGTAGGGCTGTAAAAATAATGAGTAGTTTGAAAAAAGTTTTTCTATACAAGCCGTTGTCCATTCAGACATTCAATTAGAGTAAAGTTTTTCCCGCCTTTAGTATCTTACGTAAAATTTATCACGAGGTTTTATTAATTTGTATAGTAATTCAGAAACATAGTCTTTACCTATATTAACATTGTAAAATGGAATCTGTTTGTGTGTATATTTTAATATTTATAAAATATTTATTATATTTCTTAATGATATTATGTAACAAACGTCATGAATAAATAAATATTAATTATTCGTGATGTTTGATTATGACCAATAGGTGATTAATACTCATATCATAGACTAATTGTGAAACGCTCATGCAAAACAAATCTTATGCAGTTACTATATTAATATATCGCCACTATAATTAATATCTGGGTATCAAATGGTATTAGATATGGCTGATGCACGATCATGATATCAACTTGAGTATCTATGAGTTCTAGGTAGGTAGGTAGGAGTATCAACGAGCCAGCGCATGATTTGTAGAGCACTCTATATCAGTGATACATATGTGTGATACTCGATACTACTGATATCCTCCTGTTGCCGATACGAATCGTACCACACCAATATGAAGATATCGGTATGGTATATAGGTAATTAGGTATCTGTGATACGAGGATATTGACTCATATCTGCGATATTATTTATCATAATCATAAACAAAATATAAGATTAGTACAAATCAAGGGGATATTCAGTATACCCGTGAATGACCAAGTCAAATTAAAAAAAATGTAAAATGTACTAAAAAATTAACAAATTTATTCCTACTCTATGACATTTTCATTGTCTAAAAGTGACTACCACGTTCATCAAATGGACCGTCAATTTGTCATTGTTTCAGTAAAATAAAAACATTTAACCTTTTACGCCCTGAAAACCTATACTTTAATATTTATAAAGTAGAATAAAACATTCACCAAAGGAAAAACCTTTTCGTTTAATAAATGCAATATCGAAATCAGTTTGCAATTGACGAAGGTATCACTAAACATACATATTTAATAAATACAAATACAGTACCATCTTTGAATAATGACCCAGACTGTTACTAAAATTAAAGGCTCGATAAATTAGACGCATTTTCTAAATTAAGGTCTACTCTCTCTCCTTGAGAAGCCGTATCCCCGCGAGTTTACATTATTAAGCCGGTATGATTTGTAAATATTGGATTCTATGTAATATCTTTGCAATACATTATTTATAGCTATACTCATAATTTCAGAATACGACATATCAGAGACAAATAATCAAAAATTCAGCTATGAATTTTAAATTATATTATTATAGTAAATACCGTTTGTACACTGTATACAACTTGTACATAATCGTTTGCATGGGTCCCATTTATCATTTATCTAGTCGCCAAACAGTTTGCATTCTAAGACACATTTCACAATAAGTGTATGTCTACTGTGTGTGCAGCGTGTCGCGATCTTTTATTGGACAATCTAGTGACAGTAGTAGAAAAAACTGCTGGCAACTAGCGACATTGACATCGCTATACTCCAGTTAACTCGTAACCACAGCTAACGCAACCTAGTCGACCTTATAATTAATAAATACCTTTATTTGCCATAAAATTATTCCTATTGAGAACCGATTAACTATATTAATAATATTGACAAACTACCTGATAAAACGTAGCAAACGCCAGATCACACACACAGAGAAAATATAGTATATACATGGTAGTACATATTATGTCACGAAATATTATGTGACTTCAACGTTTCTCATTTCTGAGGATTCTGAAGATTAAAACAGTGTGTAGCTATGTCAAATAATTTCAATACCCTATTTCAACCTTCAATTCAATCACAGGCTACTAAAGTTTAGCGGTATCATATGTGAGTACCACCTCACCTCTTTTTCTCCAAAGTTCCTCTCTAGTATTATGTTACAATTTTTAATCTAAATTAAATTTGCATGGTATTGTTACCGGAACTTGAACAAATTGAGTCTGAAGCTCGTAATTTATTTCTAAATGCTGAGAAAACAAATGTAATTCGTCTACATTATTCATTTTGTCTCAGCTAACGAGTTGTAAGGATTTAGTGGAACAAATAAAGCGCGGCGACTTTATATACAATTACAATACAGTATTTGTAGGGACGACAGACAATTTAAAATGATAACGATAGTCAACTAACACTTGTTTTAATTAAGTTTCTAAGAATAATTTGATCTTTAAATTGCATTGTTTCCATTCGATCAATTTAGAATTAATTAATATATATTTTTAATTAATTAAATAATGATCAATGATACTTTTACCTAAGTATAATATAATATAGTTAGTAGTTGATACCCGCCCCGCGACTTTGTTTGTTTTTATAATATAAAAGACACTACTTTCATGCCTTTCATTTAGATCAATTCAGTCGTTTAGACGCGACCTTTCATTCATACCCATTCAGCCGTTTAGGCGTGAAATGTAAGAAACAGTCAGGCAGATAGACACACTATCTCATTTATAAAATTAATGTGAATTAAATTCCTATTATTCCATTAATGTACATAGATACAATAATGAAGCTAGCCGACCTGTCGTAATCATCACCACTATGACTCATCGTCATCAGTACTACCGTGTAGTCACAGGCATAAGTTAGTAAAGGTTTAGATCGATTCTATCATTGTTATGCTCATGAATCACTAAGTAATTAAGTTCACTATTAGAAATACTTTCAAAGAAACTGGTTAATGATTTTCTGAGAAAGGTAATAACGTATTGACTCATACAAAATTCAGTAGTCATCTAGTAATAAGCCGGTTGAACGTATTTACACAAAAAATTATACAACAATAATTACTCTAGCATTTACTTGTGAGTAAAATAATTACTGCTATCTTATTCGTATCGTATCTTATTCGATTTAGTTATAAACAAAATTTTATTTAAATACCATTTTAATAAATAATCAATAAACAAACCAGCTCAATAAATAATCAAAACAAGCAATTTTAACATAACTACTGAACCTCACCCAATAAGAGAAGTATATATAGCATATAATAATACATATAAAAACAGTTCACATAGTGCCAATTAGTCCCTATCAGCTAAGCAGAATTTGTATTATCGATACTAGACAACTGAAGGATACTGGGTGGATGATAATATATATATGTAGAATAGTTACACCCCAGACCTACTCATATACGTATAAAATTCTACTCATGAATGCAAATTATTACATGCTAGGAATCGAAACCGTTACCATCGGAAGCAAAGCAGTCTGCTAAACCTCATTTTAGGGATGATAATGATATGACTCAATGCGTCATATCATTGTCGAATATTTTGATTCCTTCCACAGACTTACCACTGACTATAAGGATATTTGGGAAAAAAAAATGACGCACTGTAATCTTACACTACGTTATCGTACAATACGTGCGTAAAATTTACTTTATATAAATAATAATATAAAAAGATTTCCGCTCCATTTTATTTTACGAAAAAAAGGAAACAAAGGTAAATCCGACATAATTACGTATAGGCTTTACTATGCGGGCGTCGTACATACAACGAATTGTGCTTAGTGGCAGATTACATTGTCAGAGTTTTCAGGCTAATTGCTCCCATGGTTTAACGTCTATTATCTTGCAATATCTCGAATTGAAAAGATGGCTGACGTGCCTCCTATAGAACGAATTAAATTAACATGTCAGTAACATAACAGTTTGATTTGTTACTATTAACGTAGTATTGTCATATTGTACTAATCTTACTTAATATTGCGATTGTTTGGCTTCAATATCATCTTTAATACCTTAAGAAATATATGATTTATCTATAATACATATGTCTAGTATAAACTTAAAGCAGGTAACTGCAATGAAGTTTGAATAAAAGACCTGAATACGAGAGTATTCTATACCTTAAATACAAACTCACATTTATAGACTTGTGTCAGTCCAGCTATTTTAATAATTATGTGATACAAATGATTTTGTACCTACGTATAAAGAATCTTGTAACAATAATAAGCAGTAGCTGGAGATTAATTTTATATTACTCTCCAGCTACTGCTTACTTATGGCTTTTATTGCAATTTGGTTTTTATTTAATATACACAAATTTAGTAATTGTATAGATATAGCTGTATATGAATATGAGCTACGA